GAGCCCTGGCCCAGGCTGCCCAGGGGGGCTGTGGAGTCTCCTTCTCTGGAGATCTTCAACCCCCGCCTGGCCGCTGTCCTGTGTCCCCTGCTCTGGGTGAGCCTGCTTGAGCAGGGGGGTGGCACTGGGTGAGCTCCGGAGGGCCCTGCCAGCCCCGGCCATGCTGGGATTCTGGGATTCTGGGATGCGCTTCCCTGCTGGCACCTCCCATGGGTCATGCATTGAGGATACAGAGCACAGGAGCAAGCCGCCCGCTATTGCCTTCACCTTCCCTTGCCTAGCTGAGGACTGAAGCTTGTTTGATCCGTTAAATTAATGAGTGCCAGCAGAAGAAATCAGTTAATTCAAACTTGGTAATTGCCCGGCAGAAGGAAAACTTTGGCTCCTGGTCGTGACATGGGCGTCTGCAGCCGTCCTGCAGGTGCCACCGGGCACACCACCGCTCCTGTAACGACTTTCATACGCTGTACGTACGCCCTTACACATTCTTTTATTTCTTATACAAGTAGCACACTGTGAACTCATTTTCTCTCGTGAGTGTCAGTGCGTGTCAATGTGGAAGCAGCACCGAGACAGATCTAAAAAGAACAAAGTGACCGGATCACGATCTGATCTCATCGATTTGATCAAGACTGTAAGGGCAGAATTGTTTTCTCTGAGGCTGAGCATACAGAAACCCCAGGTTCAGAGCTCAGCGACAAGCTCCACGGCGCATCGTGGGGCCAGTTCTGTGGACAACGTTCAACCTTGTCCGCGTGGGCCTGATCAGCCGTTGGCTTGGGAGGACACGGACCTCGGCTCTGAACTGAACGGTGGCACAGACTTTTCTTTTTCTTTACATGAGTGCAGTTTCATGGAGAAAATCAGGACAATTCTATTCCATTAGACCAGATCAACTCCCCCCGCTGTGCAGGACAAGAGCAAGCATTGTAAAAGTCAGTTAACATTCGGTGATGCAAGAACTGGAAAACACAAGGATAGAGCTGAGCAGAGCTGGGTAAAGCTCAGAGCCGCGCCGCACGGAGTCCAGCACTGCCACTACTCCCCCGTGCTACGTTATGGGTCTCCTATGCTTTGTTCAAAGAGCCACACGAGAGTTCTACCACGCCTCCATAAGCTTTACGATTCCCACCTCTCCAGTACTGACAAGCAAGCCTCCGGCTTTCTCTTCACGATGACCACAACTGTTGAGAGGAGCATAGGGAAGAGCCAGCCAACCAACAAGACATGGCATGAGGAGAAGCCAAAGCAGCTCATCCTAATGCTGCACGGCCAGAGGCTGCACGACACATGGGTTTGGGTACCTCGGTTCTCCATTCAGCAACTGGGCCAGAGAAAGCAGCTCAAGAAGGATCTGGTGTTTACAACGTCAAGAGAAGACCAGACGAGCATCAGCTCCGCTTGCTCTCAGGATGGCAAATTACTCATGAAAACAGGAGCCTCCATTTGACACAAATTATCTCCCTTTGCTTTGCTCCCCTCCTCTCCTCTACAGCACATGCTTAGTTTAGACACATGGAAACACTGAGGCTTTGTCTCAAGACTCTGTAGGACATTAAGCCAGATTCACTTGGAGGCTTAGTTTCTTATACATGTACAGTAACAGAATTTGTTGGGGTTTTTCTGTCTCAGGTTTTACTTTTGATGTGAAAACTGGAGAATTGGGGAAGCAGATGGATTTCCAGTCTGTTCAAACCAACACCAGCACAACGGTATTTCATTAAAACTGTTCCATCGGTTGAACGGCAAGGTCAGAACGGAAGGGTAACGACAACGCCGTTGAGCAGAAAAACATGGCAAACCGCTCTGTGAGACAAACAAGGACGCAAAGCCAACGCTCCCAGGCAGCAGCAAGCTAAACCCCACCACTACTAATATCGGGCATCATTAACGTGCCAGGAAATATGGTTTAATAATTTTAATCTGCAACAAATGAGAAAACAGAGTCTGATCCAACACGGTGATGTGCAAAGGAAGGCTGACTGGCGCTCTGAAATGCCGACAGAGGCCAGCGGAACGTACAGGCAGGCCTGAGTCTGCCCCTCAACCCATCCCACACCCCCCTTCTTGCTGAGGGATATTCTCCATGGCCAACGTGCTCCCAGCCATTTGTCAGAGAAACACAACAGCGACAGCCCTGCACCTTCCTAAGGGTGAACCTAAGGGCTCCCTTCCGCCAGTCTGCGGCGCCGTCAAACGCAGCCACAGACACCCTGTGTCACCGATTTCCTGGAAGAAGGTTAAGGCAGGTACTCACACGATATGTGCGAGGTCGAGGGGCTCCTCCGGCTGCTCAGGAAACACGGGGCGCGGCGGCTCTCTGCTCGGTACGCAACCAAGCGATTTACTAATGGCGTGGCTCAGCTTCTTCGCAGGCGATTTCTGTTTTCGGAAAGAATGACAAAAACGAGTGGAGCATTAGGAAGGGCAGGGTGGAACGTGAAGTCAGAGAGCAGAGACGCATGAAACAGCGCACAGTGCTAAAATATTGGGAGACCCAGTTAGGTTACACCACACCTGAGAGGCTGTTACAGGCGCTACAGAGGTGACCAGGGTTGTGGGGTTTTTATTGAAGGATGAAAGTAGTTTAACAAAAGTAGCCTGGAGAAGAGAAGGCTGAGAGGGGATCTCATCACCACCTACAAATATCTCAAGGGTGGGGGTCACGAGGACGGAGCCAGACTCTTCCCAGTGGTGCCCAGCGCCAGGCCAAGGGGCCATGGGCACAACCTGAAGCAGAAGAGGTTCCAGTTGAACGGGAGGAAGAACTTGTTGACTGTGAGGGTTGAAAAGTAAGATGAAGAAAGGAACCAAGTGCCTGATGTTCCTATCAGGAATTGAACCAAAGGCAATCATATCCTGCTAGGGGATTTTTTATACTCACTCACAACCTCTCGGGAACATGGGTGCTGTATTTTGAGGGGAGGGCAGGGAAGAAGAAAGGACCCGGTGGACGAGCAGGTCCATAACCCCCTGTGGAGGCTCCCCCACTGCCAGCACTGCTCTCATTTCCATCTAGGGGGACCAGCAGAGAGCTGGCACTGTC